GGTCTCACCATGTTGCTCAGCAGGTCTCGAACCCATGGACTCAGGCAGTCCTCTTGCCTTGGCCCCTGATAGTGCTGGAATTACAGGCGTGAGCCACCATACCTGACCAATTATCCCATTTTAAAGTGAAGCAAGAATAATTTTACTAAAAAATGGTTTCATTCTGCAGAAATTTAGTCACTGAGACGGACTGCAGTTATCTCTACTTTGAAGAACACTTACCCAGCAAACTTCATAATTGAAGGGGTTGGAGCTCATGTGTAACCCACTGGCTGAAAATGAAGGGATGTTCCGATTAGTGTGGGGTGGAGTGATCTAGATGGGAATGGAAGGTGGGAGAGCAGGACAGTTATTCTAAATGATGTATTTGTTCTTGAATGTTAACCTTAAATTAGTTAAGCTTAACAGTGGGGAGGATTAGTCTTATCTTTTTAACTTGACTTTTCATTTTAAAAACTTTAGTTTTGTACATGTGTTTACATGGCATGAGACCTGCTGAAGTGAGCATCAGTTGCAGTTCCTGTCAAAATACCGTGTGGGGACCTCAGTCCAGATAGAGCCACATTTCATTTTCTTTTCTTTTTTTTAAATTTTCAATAGGGATCTCACCCTGTCTCCCAGGCTGGAGTACAGTGGCAGGATCACGACAATCACGGCTCACTGCAGCCTTGAGCCGACTTCCTAGGTTCAGGTGACCCTTCCACCTCAGCATTCCAAGTTGCTGGTACTACAGACATGTGCCACCACCTCTGGCTAATTTATTGATTTTTTTTTTTTTTTTTTGGTAAAGATGAGATTTTGCTATGTTACTCAGGCTGGCCTTGAACTCTTGGGCTCAAGCAATCCTCCCACCTTGGCCTCCCAAAATGCTGGGATTATAGGCTTGGGCCACAGTGCCTGGCCTGGAGTCACATTTTCTGAAAATACCTGGAGACAGATGTTGCTTAAGACATTTGGTTTTAGTCTCCTTGCAGGTCAGTAGTAATTAACGATCAGCTGATTGTCAGTAGCAAAGATCATAGGAACTTGCTGTCTTGCATATCGGTTGTTTTTCTTTCACAACTTTGGGTTGAGCAACTCACATTCTGCTGCATCTGGAGAAACTTGTCTGGACTTGAGTGTTCTTGAATGCATTTTATATTAAGGACTTTTGGTGGGATTGGACTATGAATATAGTTGAAAGGGTAGAAGCATCTTCATTTATGAAAACCAGTATGAAAATTACTAGTTATTCTTTCGAGTGATAACTTTTAGGGTTAAAACAGGAGAACACAGAATCAACAGAGAATACATCATAACTGCAAATTTGAAAACACACACAGATGGGCACAGTGGCTCAGGCCTATAATCCCAGCACTTTGGGAGGCAGAGGTGAGAGGATTGCCTGAGCCCAGGGGTTCGAAACCAGCCTGGAAAACTTGGCGAGACCTTGTCTCTTCAAGAAATTAAAAAAAAAATTAGCCGAGCATAGTGGCACACACCTGTTGTTTCAGCTACTTGGAAGGCTGAGGTGGAAGGAACGCCTGAGCCCAGCAGGTTGAGGCTGTGGTGGCTGTGAGTGGGCCACTACACTCAAGCCTGGGTGGCAGAGTGAGACTCCAACTCAAAAAAAAAAAAAAAAAAAAAAAGAGAAGAAAACACACACATACATCAGCTCAAAAGTTAAAAGAAAACAAAGAAAAAACTTTGTAAGAATCTCATGGTGGGGATAAACTTTTAGGGCTGATGTAACTGTGTTTGGTGTAATAAAATAAATTTAAGTCTAGTGCATTGCAGGAGAAAGTATAAAACTAAATGTTGAAGAGATAGAAATTTTAATTAAAGAATGAATAATTAATATACAGAGGGTACCAAAATATATACACACATTTTAAGAAAGGGGAAAATCTATTAAAATTGTAAGACTTAATATATACCTGCCTGTTGCATGGTGATGCTAGCATTCCTTTGATTAACAGACTACACATTGCTACCGTAATTCATACATAGATAACATCTCTTAAATTGTGCATACATTTTTTTTTGGCACCTCCAGTATACTACTTTTATGGCATTTATAGCAGCCTAATATATTTTTTGTATACCTGCACAAATAAACAAAATAAACCAAATTTAGTGTTAGGTATTCATGCTGGTACTTAAAATTTAGCAGATGAGGTTAACCAGTAGAAATAAATGTTAACAGATTATTTTAGGGATGCTATAGGTGTGTGATATGTATATGCTGTTACTTACTTATGTTTATACTACTTAGTAAGCTTGTAAAATGCTCAGATGGAAGTACGGCACTTTTAACCTAGGATGCTAGTTATGGAGAGAATAGGAAAGGCATTACAAATTTCTTGAACTCACTTTTTTTTTTTTTTTTTTTTTTGAGTTGGAGTGTCACTCCGTCGCCCAGGCTGGAGTGCAGTGGCACGCTCATGGCCACCCCGGTGTTGACCTGCTTTGTTCAGGTGATCCTTCTGCCTCAGCCTTCCAAGTAGTTGGAACTACAGGCGTGCGCTACCACACTCCATTAATTTTTTGACTTATTGTAGAGATTACAGGTGTGAGCAACTGTGCCTGGCCCAAATTCACATTTTTAGAAAGCAATGAAATATTGTGCCATCTTGGCTGGGCTCGGTGGCTCAGCCTGTAATCCCAGCACTTTGGGAGGCCGAGACGAGTAGATTACCAGAGCCCATGGGTTCGAGACCTTGTTTCTACAATAAATAAATAAATAATTAGCCGGACGTGGTAGCACGCACCTGTAGTTCTGGCTACTTGGAAGGCTGAGGCGGAAGGATTGCTGGAGCCCAGCAGTTCGACACTGGGGTGGCGGTGAATGTGCCACTGCACTCCAGCCTGGGCCACAGAGTGAGTCTCCAACTCAAAAAAAAAAAAATTGTGTCATCTTAATGAGAGAAACTATTTTGATTAGAAGTTATTTGAATTCGAGTCTATTAAGAAAGTTCATGACATTTTGTTTTTGTTTTGTCAGGATTTTTTTGAGTTGGAGTCTTCCTCCATCGCCCCAGGCTGGAGTGCAGTGGTACAGTCATGGTCACTCTAGTGCCGACCTGCTGGGCTCTGCCTCAACCTTCCAAGTAGCTGGAACTACAGGCGTGTGCCTTCACGCCCAGCTAATTTTTTTTATTTTTATTTGTTGTAGAGACAAGGTCTCACTAAGCTGCCCAGGCTTATCTTGAACCCGTGGATTCAGGCAATCCACTCACCTGGGCCTCCCAAAGAACTGGGATTACAGGCTGAGCCACCAAGCCCGGCCTGTCATTTGTTTTTAAGTCATAGCCAGTACATTCTATATGTTGCTTAAGTAAGTTATTCCATTCTAGTTTACTTCTTTTTTTAGTGAGTCTTGATGCAGCCCTACACGTCGTGGTTTCCTACTTGGTAACTGAGTTGAAAGAAGCAGCATTCCCTATTGTGTCATTTCTCAGCATCTTTTTGGCAGTACTGTTTCTATAGAGCCCATGTCTTCTGTGATCATGTAGGATCTGATCCTTTAACAAACTGCTAGTCCTCATTCTGGCAACCTTGTCCATGTCTAGTTGAGATAACTATTTTATACTGTATAAAACATTCATGAGTTTTGAGTTATTTTCAGATTAGAGTGCTATTTTTTATAGTGTTAAAATTAATTGGTTGCGTTAAAAAATTGTTGTGTAGCTTTATGATGGCATAAAGAGTTGAGGCTGGGAAGATAATGAGCTAATCTTTAGTTAAAAGTCAAGGCCGAGTGTGGTGGCTCACACCTTGTAATCCTAGCTCTTAGAGAGGCTGAGATGGGAGGATCGCTTGAGCTCAGGAGTTTGAGACCAACCTAGGCAATATAGCAAGCCATCGTCTCCACAAAAAAAAGACAAAAAAATTTTTTAAAAAGTTGAGGTCAAAAGAGAGGAAACCAAAGCTTGAAAGCACTGAAGTTTTTGTGGGAGGTAGAGGTGTCCTTAGTTATTTTGTTTGTTTTAAATTTTCTTATGGCATTGCCTTTCTAGAGGTCTTACTCACATGCACTCTTGAGTGTAAACTCCTGAACGAGTGTTGTGAGTGCCTATGAAGTGGAAATGCTCCAATCTCTTGGTTTTTCCTTTCTTCCCTGTGCTCTCCTCATGTTAGGCTTTTATATCAGTGCTAGCTGTGGGCTGTAAGTGAGCCAAAGAACAGCCCAGCACAGCACCAGTCTTTAGCGCAGAGAAGCAGCAGGGACAGGGTCCCTATGTAGACTCATCGAAGCCAGGATTTGACTTCCAGCCCCCACCTGTCAACTAGCCATACTGTGAAATTGAAAGTGCCTTGTTTTTGTACATTGCTTCCATGACCTTGACATTTTCTTCCTTGATAAAAGCATTTAATATAATATATGTGTTGTCTCAGCACCTTTGCCATCCTCCAGTTGACTGTGTAGTTAGAAATAACTGCTCTGTGTGCTGCATTGGAGTCACTGCTGCTGAGGTGATTTCTTGCTGAATCAGCTGATGGAGGAATGGGAAGATATGCACTGGGCAGTGTTCTCCATCAAGCCTGCGCAGAGGTCAGCTCGTGTCTGCTCCTGTGGCGGGGAAGGAATGTGTGGACTCTGCCCTCTGCCCAGAGCGCAGGGAGCGTTTCGCTCCCTCTCCACCCCACCACCAAATCCCTGTGTCTTTGGAAAGCCATGGTCGTACTCCTTGGCCTTATTCTTGTATGCTTGGTTTTCTAGTCCTTCGTCTAAATCAGTTAGCTAGTTTAGACAGGTAGGAAGAAGCATTAGTCAACAGTAGGAATAATAATGTTTCTGGAAATGGGGATACAAATTTTCACAAAGGAAAAAATGTTGCCTACCTCAGATTCTGTAAACCTGGGAAAATAGAAAATACTTTAAAACAACTTGCCCTAACTACCTGTTTCCCATTGTTTTTGAAATTCTTAAGTATACTATCACCTTGAGTGAGAAAGAATCTCCATGAATCACAGGAAGTAAATTCATCTAGTCAAATCCTGTTTTAAAAAAATTCATAGCTGGGCCCGATGGCTCAGCCTGTAATACCGTGCCTTTGGGAGGCTGAGGTGAGTAGATCGCCTGAGCCCGCGGGTTCGAGACCCGCCTGGGCAGTGAGACCTCATCTCTACAATAAATCAAAAAATCAGCTGGGCGTGGTAGCGCATGCCTGTAATTCTGGCTACTCAGAAGGCTGAGGTGGAAGGATCGCTGGAGCCCAGCAGGTCGAGGCTGCAGTGGCCGCTCCCGGCCACTGCACTCTAGTCTGGGCGACAGAGTGAGACTCCAACTCAAAAAAAAAAAAAAATTCATGAGGTCAAAATGAAAGTGTCTGCCCTCCTTGCTTTGACTTTGACTCACAGTGTGTCAGAATTATTAGGTGGCTTCCTAGGGCCCTTGTTTGTCCATAGTGGAGTGGAGTTCTTTGGGGAAGTGTCTCTAGCTTTGCAGCTGTTAAAGGTCAGTGTAGTTTATGTGATTGGTGTGGTGAAGTTTACAAACCTGATGTCTCACTTATTCAATGTGATCATTTCACTAGGGTGTTGGTTCTGAGGTCACACCCAGTTTTTGATGAAACTAAGTAGGGCGTGGGCATCTCTCCCTCCCTACCCACTAACAGCCTCTGTTGCTTTCATGTCTGATACATTTTAATATCACAAATTGTTCATTTAGTTTAGGATTTATCTTTGAAGTTGGTCCCTTCTAAGGTAGTGAGATTGGTATAGCATTGATGGTAATTAATGCCTGTCATCAGTACCAAGTGCGTCTATGATTAAAACTGCAGTTTAAGACAGTTCTGCATCTGTGCTAAGCAGGTGATGCGTGGACGCCATTATGCAATAGAAATAGGTTAACAAGAATAAGTTGGTTCTGTTGGTTGGTAGCAGGTCAAGAACATGGGCTACTCAACTCTGCCCCATCTCTTTTTAAAAATCAGATGCCTTATCTTTCTGGCTTTATTTACTCCAAAGCCAGATTCCCTTCTGTAGAAAGCGCTATAGTGTTCTGAATATATTTGTTTCGTTTGTCTGACATTAAGTTCTCTTTGTCTTTTCAGTTGTCCTTATTGGAGATTCTGGTGTTGGGAAGAGTAATCTCCTGTCTCGATTTACTCGAAATGAGTTTAATCTGGAAAGCAAGAGCACCATTGGTGTAGAGTTTGCAACAAGAAGCATTCAGGTTGATGGGAAAACAATCAAGGCACAGATATGGGACACTGCTGGGCAGGAGCGGTACCGAGCCATCACTTCAGCGTGAGTCTCCTGGCTTTAAGTTCTGTGAAATGGGTTGTCATCATGTGAACCAGCTTACTTTTGGTATTGACAAAGGAACTGGCTTTTCATTTTATTTTTTTGAGTTGGGAGTCTCACTCTTTCGCCCAGACTGGAGTGCAGTGG